AAGAAACTGTAACGAAATAATTAAACAGACATTTTTCGAAAACGTAATTTCTTGCACTCGCAGAAAGAAGGAATCGTTGTCTTTACGTCAAGCTTGTCAACGTTTCAAATATCTCTTCGTACTTAGGGAAAAGTAATAATTCATGTACTTTCTACTTTCATTGCTACTTTCCATGTGATAGTATTATTTCTTTAAACGTCAATGATACGATAAACACGATATTACATAAAATCATAACACCATCTCAGTAATAAAAGTCACATAGAAACGATGAGAATGGAAATATGAAAATGAGGATGCTGCATTATCTGTCTGTATAAAGAAACTAACCCTTTGCACTCGAGAGGTGAGTTTCAGTCACCATTTCATAAAATTTCGAAGATCGATATTAATTAATATGTCAAATTTAATGTAATGTAACGGTGTGCGAGGTATCGAAATCAAATAATTCTACAATTCTATTATTATACAATTCTTTATTTACTGCTCAAAAAAGTATCGTCAGTTTTTCAGTGGAGAATCTTTGAATTTCTACTCTTCTCTAGCCAAAAAATTGTCGAGTGCAAAGGATTAATATACAAGCTGTTTGCCCTATTTGCATAAAGAAATTAATATACGAGCTTAATTATCGTACTTCCATGTAATCAGTTGAGCGCTTTTGTCGCCTTGTGTAAACAAGCTTGAATACGTCAGTACAACGATTGATTACTTCTTGGATATAACTTTATTGCACAGACAAAAAGTTTTATTGTGGATCCGATCTTTCTAATCCACTAGAATCTTATAGCACAAATTTTTACGGTAATACTTACACAAATTACCCATTTACTAGATTAGACTAGATTAGATTTCTTTCCTACGATACTTCTTTATTTTTAATAATAAAAACAATTATTTTCACTAAATAATTACGTTTTTGTATCGTGTACATATACTTTAATGACTTTAACTTTACGTTTTCGAAAGGACATTTTATTTATCATCATTTAATATTCAATATCCCGACTCGATTTAAAGGACAAAAGATTATGAAATTATTTCGAACGACCGTGAGATATTCTTGAAGGTAAAAATCCCGATGTAAATTGAATGAAAATACATGTGGAAGTTTAGCAGTGAATTTATTTAAAATATCGTATGTAAGCTTCGTACACTATCGTATACTTGAATGATAAATAAATTAAAACATTCGTTGATACAAAGCGCGATACAAACGTTATGCAACATTGTAAATATAAACTGAAAATCGTAAGAAAATTTATAAACTTAGAAGAATTAAAGAAACGATGAAATTTAATGAAATATTACATAAATCGGAATACCAAAACACCGTTATACCTATTTCACGAGTTCTATTAATATACCTGTACGTATTGTCCTCAAAATTATGTTTACTCGTACCATTAACGGGTTTAAACAATTTTGAAATCAGTATTCGTATTTGGCTATGTCACGTTCATACACGACCCACAAATGTTACCCTGATAACGTATTACATGTACTTAGGATAAACTATCACCAGATATGCATCGTGCAAGTGCACATCGTTCACTTCTTTCGCACGGTATAATCTCCACTTATTTAGAACGCTAAGGTATTACAATCGATAAAAGTAGCGAACGCACCTATTGAATAAAAAAAGAGAAAAATACAATTAAATATACTTTGAAGGGATTAACAGTATCGATTGCTTTCTAATTTTTGAAACTTAAAACTTCTATACTACAAAATAGTTTTTCTATTCATAAATAGAATGTATCTTACTGTACACGTCTGCATTGTTTCCCTCCTTTCACCTACAATTAGTTTTCAGCGAGTTATACTCTAAATTATCGCTCAAATAATTCTTTCATAGTCCCCTCATTATTAT